CACACCAGCGGGCTCCACGCGGTCTTCGCCCTCGCCCCGCTGTCTCCGGGCCGCCATGTTCGCAGAGGCCCTGGCCCCTCCGGCTGCCGGGCCTCGCTTAACAGAATGCGATCTTCTGAGCCCTGGCTGTTGACAGAGCCCCACTTCGGGGCTACACCGCTCCTGGACTCACTCACTACCCTCTCATCGGATTTGCCCCGGGCGGCTGGAATCAACAAGTCTGTTTCCTTCCGTGCACCCCACCCTGGGGTGCCGGCTTACCACGTGTTTGTCTTCCACGTCCAAGACGTGGGACTCTCACTCTTGACTCTCCCAGGCTCCTTTCCATTCTCAGCCGCTTGAACCTTCTTGCTTTTTTACTTTTAACATCGGCTCGACTTCCCTTTGTGTGCATCCTTTCCAACAAGTCTGAAGTCTGTATTAGGATATGGAAGGAAAGTGAAGTGGTTTAACTGTGGAGGTAAAGTGAAGTAGTTTAACTTAAATATTGAGTCCAGGTGAAGTTTGTCTTAGAAGGGTCACTGCCGACGTAGGGAAGGCTTTTCACTGCTAGGGATCCATCTCAGGTAAGATGCCACCCCCTGTTGAGTCACCGCTGCATCTGCTGTAACTCACACGCACGTGGGAACGGCAGCTAAGCTGGACTGCCTTCCTGTGAATCCAGGCTTAGCTTCGTCTAGTTCCCCATTTGTAAAATGGAGTTAATAGTACCCACCTCACAGAGTGTTTGTGAAGGTTTACATATTTAATGTGCAAAGCATTTAGAATAGTTCTTGGTGTGTAAGTGCTACAAGTTTTGTTGTTATTTCCAGTCTCTGGAAAATTAAGCAACTTGCAGAAAGCAACAAATTGAGCTCAGTTCTCCATTATCTGCAACAAATAGTTAATATTAGGCTGGCAAAATTTTTTTTTTTTTGCCCATTATGGTTTCCTGTAGACTTACAATCAATCACATTGTATGTCTCAGAAATAAAACATTTATCTAGTCTTAAATTTCCTGTTAAAAGTCATAGTTTTAAATTAAATATAGCACTCTAATACAATAGAAAACTATCCGGATTTAGTTTCATAACCGGGACTCAACTCAAACTTGGTTTTGTCACATTGAGCAAGTCACTTTAATTTTGAGGGCCTCGTTGAAAAGTGTGAGGAGTTACATTAAAAAAATAGGTTTCGTATCCTTTTGCCTGTATTCTCTCATTTTAGCCACACAACTCTATGAAATCCCCTGAAGTTACTACATTTCTTAAAACTAAGAATCAGAACTAAGAAAGTTTAAATGACTTCACCAAAGCCTTAATAACCAATAAAGTAGTAGTGGCCACTGGAGTTGAGATAGTATGACTGGTGTAGCATGGTCTGGCATGTAGTGAGTGCTCAATAAAGGTTAGTTGCTATTATTGAATGAGTCAACGAGTGATCCATATGGACTCATTTATCATTTACTGCTACATTCCTCAATGAAAATCAGTTTGTAAGAATACCCTCTATTTTTCAGTGATTGGCAGTTCACCACCCAAGAACAAAGTTTGGTGATGTTATCAATGGAGAGAAAATGGGGTGGTGCTGTTTTTCTAGGGTAATGAGTTAAAGCAGTTCATAAATGTGTAGCAAATTTAGACTGCTGCTTCTTGTTCTCAGTCACAGAGTGATTATAATACTTTGCATTTATGCCATAGTAGTTTCTAAAGGGTTTTTGTACATATTATGTAGCTGGGCATTTCCATTTGGTTGATGGAGCCTGAGTGAAGAGGACCTTCAATGATGACAAGAAAAGTACAGGGAGACATTGATGGACTATGGATGGATGCTATTGTTTGAGCTCCTCAGGTTTAGGTGTATAAACGAAGGCTGAGATGTTATGTGGTATGCCAAAGCCACACAATAAGTGGTTAAGCCATCTAGGAACAGACTTGCTCTTTCATTCCCGCCTTAAATCTTTCAAACTTTCCTCCTTTTCCTTCTCTGCTATAGAGCCTGGAGAAGTAGACCTTGTTTACTATTGGCTACCACAGTAAATGTATTTATGCTGTTTTGCTATCACTGCAAAGCACACTCACAGCTTAGGGCTTGCTGAATGAAGCACATGGCATTTCAGACATTGCACAGGGCAAGCATAGTAGCATAAAGGATACTTCTGGGAAGAATCTGAGCTGAGCATCCCCACTCCTTGTCCTTAGAGATGTAGCACAATCCAGTGTGTTCTTGTACAATGCTCTGTCTTAAGGTCTCTCCAGTATTCAAATGTCAAAAGAAGGTAAACTGCAGATAAGATCCTACTGGCAGAAATAGATGTTCCTTTGTATTAGAATGTAATTGGGGTTTTTTTGTATAAATACTATATGTAATTATATATAAAATGCACACATTTTGTTCATTGCTGTCCATGAAACATTTGCCAGAGAAGCAACTAAGGCCAAGAAATGGCATAGAAGACTAATTGCAGAATGAAACTTGAAACTTTGGCATAATTTGCAGTGTCTAGAGGTCAGTATTTTTCAAAAAAAGGTTTTGATCCATTAGTGGATTATGAAATAGATTTAGGGGGTTGTGATGGCATAAGACAATATTAGGGTGTATTTTGCATGGTAAAGGATACATTTTTGGTGAAACTTCTTTCACTTATATATATACACATTCTTATGAGTATGCACTGGCTTTCCACGTAAATGCTTTTCTTATTCTGGGATCTAGTCTAAAATGTCATTACTAAATTGGTGAAATTCAGACTTCTCATTACCTGGATATGCTTTTTTTTCTGTCTTCACCACATCTGTACTGTGTCTTGCTTTTATAAATTATGTACATGTGCCATTCGGTCTCTCACTCAGCCTTATTGCCTTCTGGATCAAATTCTGATCATCTGTCTTCAGACTGGTGTGGGTATTTATTGCTTAGCTCACTTTCACCTTCATATTGAGAAAGATTCTAATCTAAAAAAATCATATCCTTTTGGTCTTCACTCCTGGTACCTTCAGGAACTCAGATTTTCCAATCACAAATACATATAGGAACCAAATTTTTAGCCTACCCTTTCCATTACTTAATACATTTACGTGTACAATTTATGTGCACAAACATTGTGCTAGGCAGGTTAGAGGAAACAAAACAGCATGACTAGAATAAAGACAATTCAGATATATTGCATCTGAAGTGCAAAGCAGAGTATCACTTGTGCCTTAAGAAAAAGAGGTTTTTGTGGAGACATGATATTTGAGTTAGACCTTGAAGCATGGATAGATTTTTTTTAAAACCAAATGATCATTGAGATGAGTAGGAAAAGGCCCCTCCCAAGTGCAGGTAAAAGCAAAGGCAAAATGGGAAAGTTTATTTGTGATTGGGGAGTGTAATGTAAGGATGGAATTGAAAATAAGGCTGGAAAAGATGAGTTGGAGGCACATTGGGGATGCTTTGAATGCCAGCTAGTTTATGTTGTTGATTTACTCTTCTCTGGGGAGCCATTGAAATTTTTGATCACAGGAATAACAGGTTCAGATAGAAAATGCCAACAAAGGCCTGTCATAAACTGTAATCATTAGGTACACTAAACTTTTGGTTTCAGAAATATTTAGTAATGAGGTAGTACTTTAAATATTAGAGTTCACTAAAATGCACATTGGTTATTGAAACTTCTTAAGGGGTTGATGTATTACATGTTTAGACATGTTCATCCTGCTGAATGGGAAGTTATTTTTAAAAACATCTTCCAACACTGAGAAAACATACATGAGTCAGTAATTCTTTGAGATTAATTAATTAGATTACATTTAGGTTTAGATCGTTAATCCTCAAAATTGAATACTACTGCCACTTGTTCACTCTGCTTGCTTCTCCCAAAAACACATTTTGCTGATAGGAAAACTAGGGCTTTGAATATGTTAATGTTTAATTTCTAAAATTTATGTGCTTTTAAATGCAAATCCACAGAAAAACATATTGCATATATTTAGGCCAGCCTGTGTTTTACAGGTTAGAAACCTCAGTGTAGATAAATTCTAATTTGATTTGGGAAAATCAAAAGCAGAAGAAATAATTTCTAGACTCTTAGAGAGTTTCCTGATGAGGTAGTAATAGATGGGTATACTTTCCCCCATTATCCTCACCTGAAATAGGGATTTGTGTTCATAACCATATGCAGAAACCACATTTGCTTTCTGGGATCATTCAGATGTGGCTTTAGAAATTCATTTAACTGAAACTGGGATCTAGGACAAACCTTGTGCTAAAGTTTCAAAGCTTCAAGCAAATTAAATGTTACTCTTGAGATTATCAGATTGATTTATATTTCGGCTTTTAATTGTAACATCTCTTTTGGGTCTATGAAGGTGGATACATTTTTCAGGACTTGCAAAAATGTGTGTTATTTTTTCTGTGTGTAGAACGTTAACCTATTTTTAGTTAAATCTTTTTTATTGTTGTTGATAAGTATGC